CACCCAACCAGTCCCCAGTTCTTTTTTTTTTTTTTTTTAATTGAGATGCAGAGTCTTACTCTCGCCCAGGCTGGAGTGCAGTGGCATGGTCTCGGCTCATTGCAACCTCTGCCTCCCAGGTTCAAGCAATTCTCCTGCCTCGGCCTCCCATGTAGCTGGGACTACAGGCACGTGCTACCACGCCTGGCTAATTTATGTATTTTTAGTAGACGGGGTTTTGCCGTGTTGGCCAAGCTGGTCTTGAACTCCTGACCTCAGGTGATCCGCCTGCCTCGGCCACCCAGGTTACAGTTGTGAACCACCATGCCTGGCCCCCAGTTCTGTACTATGACAACCCATCTACCTTTTTCCCCACTCATGTATTAATCTTGAAGCCTGCATGGATGAGAAGTAGATAATAGGATAAATGAATGATTCCTCTTTTAGATCATATACAGATAGAGATAAATAAGGGCCTTCAGTATCTCAGCCAAGGGAGTATGCCAAATGGTAGTCTCAGACCTGGCTGGGAAGGGATAGGTTGAACAGGAAAGAGGTGAAGAAGGCTTTCTTGTCCTAAAATTACTTCACATGGATAGCTCTGAAGAGAATTACTAATTAACCAGATCTTATATTTCAGAAACACCCCCTTGAAGATATATTTTTATCCAAATTAATGGAGCAGGGGAGGCCTTTTTGAAACTTTACTTTGACACCCTAGAATTTAGTTATAATATGGCAGACCTTTTTTCTGGGAGGAAAGTGCAAGAACCTGTCTGAGGACACCTAAATTGCCTTCGCTTTCCCTGAGATGAGATATCTGTTTCATATAGCAGTTGACCTGGTAGCTTCAGTTTCACCTGCCCTGCTTTTATCAGGAGTCATGTTTTCCGCTATCACCATGGTCCCCACTGTTTCAGCTCCCTGACAATATATAATGATTTTCTATCTGCATTTAATTCTCCTAGCAGAGGCACATAGAGTAAGAGTCATTTATTTCAGCTCTCTGTCCTTACAGATCCAATTTAGTAAACATCTAATAAGCAATTATTAATGTAAAGAACTTCAGCGGAAGCTGTAGAGCACGGAGAAAAGGAATAGCATCCCCATCTCCCTACTGGAGTCCATAGTTTATTGGAGAAGACAGAAACATCGAGGTATTTCTAAAGCAGATATTCTTAATCTTGGCTACACATCAGGATCACCTGGGGAACTTTGAAACATCCAACACACAGGCTGTACTCCAGAGCAATTAAATTAAAATCCCTCAAGCTGGGACCAAGGCATCAACATGTTTTAAAGCTCCCTGGGAGACTCCAAAGTACTGTATGGCTAAGCTAGAGCAAAACAAATGGAAAATGCTGCAGTAAAGGACTAACAAGATGCTGTATGAACAAGGGTACCACAACCATTCTGGATATGCTAATGTTCTTACCCACTGTCTGACCGCATTTCTGCCCATGAATGCGGAAAATATAACCTCTCATTGTAACCAGAGGAAAAATTTAGGTCAGTTTGATTGTAGGGCATTTAGAAACTATGTACTCTGAGAGGCATGGTCTGAAGGAAACTATGTTTCTGAGGGGAAAAGGGCTCCAAAAAAGATCAACCCAGAAAAATGACCCCAAAATTAAATCCACATGCTCTCTCTCTCCCCTGGAATGTTTTATTCACTTGTCTTCCTGAAGAAGTCCTATCCATCCTCTAAGCTCCCAGCTCAAACTTCACCTCTTCTATGAAGCCTTTCCTTTTCTTCCCCTTACCCAGGCAAAACTGGGTCCCTATTTCTATCTTACTTAGCTCCTTGTACATAGTTCTCTTCTTAGCAGTTAATTATAATTATTATCAAATTGAGTTATAATTTGGCACACTGCTTATTTTATGGGCCCTACGTATCCTTGTTTTCTTAATACCTAGCCCAGTTTCTTGGTTTGTTGAATGAATATTCAGAACGACAGCAATTTTAGGTGCAGTGAGAACTCATGCCACCAGCAGAGGAAACCTAGACTCAGAAATTCCTCAGACTCCCTCGTCCTGTTTCTGAGCATCGAGATCCTCTGCTTCCAAGTGGTTGGGCTGGGGAAATGGGCAGACATACTCATGGGTGTAAAGCAGCTGCAGCAAATGATGGATGGGCCCCCCGCCCCCAGGCTTTAGTTAAAGCGGTGAGCTTGAGTTTCATTTACAGTTTTGTTGTTAGAGGAAGAAAGAAACAGAAGGAAGGTCACAGGTTTTCAAGTGTGAGCATTAAGGAAAAGTGCCTGTGGACTCCTGTTTTATTCAGGCCACAGGCATCCCAGAAAAGTTAGAACAGTGTTCTGTCTGGGGAAATTGTTTGTCTGTTTTAGTTTATTTTTAAACTTTAAATCTTAAAAGATTTTTTTTAAAGTTTCATAGGTTTTACACATATGAAGGCGAAAAGATGATTTCAATCTTATATGTATGAGGGTCATGCAGTCCAGATTTTCTAGGACAATGCTAATTTTAGATCTTATGTCCTGATTTCCTTCTTTTTTCTTTTTTTTTTTTTTGGAGATGACCTCTCACCCCATTGCCCAGCCTGGAGTGCAATGGCGCTATCTTGGCTCACTGCAACCTCCATCTCCTAGGTTCAAGCAATTCTCCTGCCTCAGCCTCCTGAGTAGCTGGGACTACAGGTGCCTGCCACCACGCCTGGCTAATTTTTTGTATTTTTAGTAAAGACGGGGATTTCACGTGTTAGCCAGGTTGGTCTGGATCTTCTGATCTTGTGATCCGCCCGCCTCAGCCTCCCAAAGTGCTGGGATTACAGGCGAGAGCCACCGCACCTGGCCTTGATTTCTTATATGGAAAGTATGGTTGCTGTTCTTACCATTGGCTATCATTTTCCCAGCATGCTTAAAGATCTTTTAGTGATCAGAATGTTTAATTATTTTGGCTTTCTGTGTGGCAAAAACACATTTTAAAAAAATTTTTTAAATTTTAATTATCTTACTTAAGCTTGCTTAAGTAAGGTTGCCTCATAGACAAAAAAGCCTAAAGATAACAGAACAGCATTGAGTATATTGCCTGGAGCACCAGACTTGTATTGAATGTGGCTTTTTGGTGAAGATGATATGTAGTAACACTTCTTTCTCTACCACAAATTAATACAAAAATCCTTCAAAGAAAAAACAAGGGCCGGGTACAGTTGCTACACCAGTAATCCCAGCACTTTGGGAGGCCAAGGAGGGCGAATCACTTGAAGTCAGAAGTTCAAGACCAGCCTGGCCAACATGGGGAAACCCGGTCCCTACTAAAAATACAAAAATTAGCCAGGCATGGTGGCGCACACCTGTAGTCCCAACTACTTGAGAGGCTGAGACACAAGAATCTCTCGAACCTGGGAGGTGGAGGTTGCATTGAGCAGAGATCATGCCAGTGCACACCAGCCCAGGGGACAGAGTGAGACTCCGTCTCAAAAAAAAAAAAAAAAAAAAAAAAAAAAAAAAAAAAAGAAAAAAAAAAGAAAAAATTAGTCATTAAGAATCGTTTCATTATGAACTATTATCTAATCCTGACTGTCACTTGAGAAATGTTTCTGTGTGAGGTGCAGACACAGGAGCCCACCAAGAAAGAAACTAGTGACCACGAGAAAAGCCTGTTGCTGGAGCCACATCCCCTGTGCCACAGGCCAGATGGAATCTCAGCAAAATGGTGGCTGTAACCCCGCATGGGCTTTTACTTTTAGTGGGCACATTCTGGAAAATATTAATGTTTATCCTTATCTCTTACGCTAATCACCATAATTGTTATGGTTATTATGGATTACATTGCTACTGTTTCTCTTTTCGTTTCCTGGATTCAGACCACATTGAACCTTTAAAATCTGTGAGCAAAATCACTTCAGTTTTAATTGAATGGCCCACAACTAGTTCATCTTTTTTGCCTGTTTAAAAAGTGTGACTTTTTTCCTCACTGAATAATACAAAAAGTATAAAATAAACGCTAAACTTTAAAATATTCTTTTATATCTAAGAACTATAAGCTTTGTAAGCTTTTAAAAAGTGCTTAGTAATTTTAAGTTACTTTTTTTTTTTTGAGATAGGGTCTTGCTATGTTGCCCAGGCTGGATTCAAACTTCTGGGCCCAAGTGATCCTCCTGCCTCAGCCTTCTGAGTAGCTGGGACTATAGATGTTCACCACTATGCTTAGCTAACAGTTACATTTTTTGTTGTTGTTGTTTTTAATCACCTGACTGCCATAAGGTCTCCCGTAACCTGGTTCCATTTCTTAGAGGACATCTTGTATGTTCTTCAGTCAATATTTTGTGAAACAACAACAACAGAATAGCATCAAAATATATGTCACTGGTAGGTGGCAAGCTATTAGTGCATGAACTGTGTCTTCTAGAAAAAGCAACCTATTTTCACATGTCATTAAATTAGGAGCTATTTCTGGCTCATGTAGCAGTGTTGATTGCTCCATGTGTTACCATGATCCTTCTATGATGGAAAATCTACACTAAGTAAGGACAGCACCCTTCCCAGTAGCTAGCCAGTCTCTATTCACAGACTGCTGTTAGCTACTTCCATAGTCAAAATCTGTGTGTTTTCATCTGCCCAAGCTTTCCTCTCTTGCAACCTCATGACAGTTAGGAACTTCTCACATACTTGCCCAGAATGCCAGCAGATCTTCAGCTGGTGGTAACACCCTTAGCATGAGCCAGATTTGAGATTCCCTAATCCTCTGTGATCTCTGATGAGTACAGGGAAAAGGATATGTGTAGGAGTGGGGCTTGGTATTATGACTAAGGCTCAAAAGAAGGTGAGGCCAGAGAGAGCCTGAGCTGGGATCTGCTGAAACAGCTCCTAAAATGAAAACAAAATGGGGGCCAGGCTTTTTCTGGATAGTAGTTATGTTTTCCTGCCAATGCACAAGTCCTACTCATAGACAATGACAACCAATCTAAATGTCAAATAAGATCATTCGCCTTCATAATCATAACCAACCTGTATGACACCTTTTTAACAGGAGGCCTCATTCTTCTTTTCCCCATCCAGAATTAAGAGGAAAAAAGTGAATATGGTTTTTGCTCACAGAATGGATAACAGCAAGCCACAGTTGATTATTCCTACACTTCTGGTACCACTCCAAAACCGCAGCTGCACTGCAGCAGCCACACCTCTGCCAAGCCAGTACCTGATGGAATTAGGTGAGGAGCACAGCTGGATGAGCAACCAAACACATCTGCACTATGGACTGAAACCCGGGGAAGTGGCCACAGCCAGCATCTTCTTTGGGACTCTGTGGTTGTTTTCTATCTTCGGCAATTCCCTGGTTTGTTTGGTCATCCACAGGAGTAGGAGGACTCAGTCTACCACCAACTACTTTGTGGTCTCCATGGCATGTGCTGACCTTCTCATCAGCGTTGCCAGCATGCCTTTCGTCCTGCTCCAGTTCACCACTGGAAGGTGGACGCTTGGTAGTGCAATGTGCAAGGTTGTGCGATATTTTCAGTATCTCACTCCAGGTGTCCAGATCTATGTTCTCCTCTCCATCTGCATAGACCGGTTCTACACCATCGTCTATCCTCTGAGCTTCAAGGTGTCCAGAGAAAAAGCCAAGAAAATGATCGCAGCATCGTGGATCTTTGATGCAGCCTTTGTGACCCCTGTGCTCTTTTTCTATGGCTCCAACTGGGACAGTCATTGTAACTATTTCCTCCCTTCCTCTTGGGAAGGCACTGCCTATACCGTCATCCACTTCTTGGTGGGCTTTGTGATTCCCTCTGCCCTCATAATTTTATTTTACCAAAAGGTCATAAAATATATTTGGAGAATAGGCACAGATGGCCGAACAGTGAGGAGGACAATGAACATTGTCCCTCGGACAAAAGTGAAAACCATCAAGATGTTCCTCATTTTAAATCTGTTGTTTTTGCTCTCCTGGCTGCCTTTTCATGTAGCTCAGCTATGGCACCCACATGAACAAGACTATAAGAAAAGTTCCCTTGTTTTCACAGCTATCACGTGGATATCCTTTAGTTCTTCAGCCTCTAAACCTACTCTGTATTCAATTTATAATGCCAATTTTCGGAGAGGGATGAAAGAGACTTTTTGCATGTCCTCTATGAAATGTTACCGAAGCAATGCCTATACTATCACAACGAGTTCAAGGATGGCCAAAAAAAACTATGTTGGCATTTCAGAAATCCCTTCCATGGCCAAAACTATTACCAAAGACTCAATCTATGACTCATTTGACAGAGAAGCCAAGGAAAAAAAGCTTGCTTGGCCCATTAACTCAAATCCACCAAATACTTTTGTTTAATTTCTCATTCTTTCAATTGTTATGCACCAGAGATTAAAAAGCTTTAATTATAAAAACAGAAGCTATTTACATATTTGTTTTCCCTCAACTTTCCAAGGGAAATGTTTTATTTTGTAAAACGCGTTCATTTGTTTATTGTAGTTTTTGTGGGTTTTATTTTACTTGCTTTTTATGTTTTAGGGAAAACATTCACTTTGAGTACAGCCAACGGTCCTTTTACTATTAATATATTAGTTACATGCATAAAAAAGAAATGCCTTCTTAACACTTATTTACTGTTGGTTCAAAAACATAAACCTAAGCCATATACACAGTCTTTGATTAATGATTCAATCTAGTTTTATTTTGTTTTGTTTTTCTCCTCCTTACTGAAGTTTTATAACTATGGGCTTCAGTTCCAAATGAAATCCCCATGTCACCTGTCTCAGAGATTTATATTTCTTTCACTAAGCAACATTTATGATGAGTTAATAGTGTATAGGTTGTCTTGTTACCTTCCTCCAAGTAACCACAAGCCAGATCTGCTAATGGAAAGCATGTCATATATTGGAACTTGCTGGGAAGTCTTCTGTGGTTGGATTTTAATCAGGATTCTTAGGGGGGAAAAGCAGAGAGTTGCCTAATTTCTCTTGCTCTTTCTCTTGTTTTTATCTTTCCTTAATCTAAGCAGCTGATGAAGCCTTGAAAAATGCAAAGTCAATGCAATGTTTTCCTGACATCTGTGTCCCATCTAGGCTGTGTCTAGGACATTTACCTCCCATTTTTGAGTTATATACAAGTAAATGCGCAGGTGCTGTTGCTAGCATATCTAAAAAATGCCGAAGACAGACATGACAGATGGCATTTCTCTGTACAGGCTCTGCAATTCAAGCCGAGACTTTCAGCTGCCCAGCCCTACCCCTATACACCAGGACAGCAAGGGCAAGGACTGCCTTCCTCCTTCTCCTAGAAACTCGAGGCCATTTCTCTAGCCAGAGCCTGGTCTCCCTCATCTCTCTCCAGGGCACAGCACCATACCCTGGCCAAGCTCAAACTCTTCTTTGCCTGTGATAACTAGGGAATATGTTTCCTCTGGTTCCCGGATCTCCATTATTTCAAATCGAGGACCAGCCAGCACATTTAAAAAATGTGTTTATTTAAACAATAAAGGGTTTAGAGACAAGACTAGTATGCATTTTCACGCCCTAGTTAACAAGCGCTGCAAATAATAACTCCAGTTGTTCAGCAATTTTACATGCATTATCCCCTTTATCCTCTCAACAATTCTGTGATATATTTATTATCATCCCTTTTATAGATGAGCGAACTGGAACTCAAAAGTTATGTGACCTGCCCAAGTTGGAATGTGACAGAGCTGGTATTCAAACTCGGGCCTCTAACCGCATGTCTGTCTGTCGCTCTTTCCTTCACATTTCGGATGTCTCCCTAGAGAACACGAGGGGCCAAACCCATCCAGGCCTTGAAGGGCTTCCTGACCACTGCCTTGGTAGAAGTCAAAGGTCTAAGAGAATTTGGCTGTTCTTTTTTCTTTTTTTAAATTTTTTTTTTTTTTTTTTTTTTTTGAGACAGAGTCTCACTCTGTTGTCCAGGCTGGAGTGCAATGGCGTGATCTTGGCTCACTGCAACCTCTGCCTCCCAACTTCAAGTGATTCTCCCGCCTCAGCCTCCCAAGTAGCTGGGATTACAGGCACCTGCCACCACACCCAGCTAATTTTTGTATTTTTAATAGAGACAGGGTTTCACCATGTTGGCCAGGCTGGTCTCAAACTCCTGACCTTAGGAGATCTGTCTGCCTCGGCCTCCCAAAGTGCTAGGATTACAGGCCTGAGCCACCGCGCCTGGCCTCTTTTTTATTTTCAATTTTAAAAAAATCAGCTGAATTTAAGATTCACTGGTGATTCTTAAAAAGGGTCTAGTTGAAATGTAATGAGCCGGCCCTCACCTGTTCTTTGGCTGTAGATAGGTTCTTGAACTTGTGCTGCGGAATGTTTGCGATAAGGAGGGAAACCTGTACCTTCCTATACCTCCCGGACACAAGGGAATGAGACAAGATTACGTTTTGATGTTTGGGACAAAGAATAACAAAACATTTAATCTACAAAACATTTACAGAGCTGATGTTTTTAAGTTGAGAGGCTTTGTTCAATCACAAATTCCAAAGATAGAAATAATATATCATGGCCGGGAGCGGTGGCTCAAGCCTGTAATCCCAGCACTTTGGGAGGCCGAGGTCGGCGGATCACGAGGTCAGGAGATGGAGACCATCCTGGCTAACACGGTGAAACCCCGTCTCTACTAAAAAATACAAAAATTAGCTGGGTGTGGTGGCGGTTGCCTGTAGTCCCAGCTACTCGGGAGGCTGAGGCAGGAGAATGGCGTGAACCCGGGAGGTGGAACTTGCAGTGAGCTGAGATCCGGCCACTGCACTCCAGCCTGGGCGACAGAGCAAGACTCCGTCTCAAAAATAAATAAATAAAAATAATATATCATATTTTTCTTTCTCCCTTTTCCCCTCCTCCTCACATTCTTATCCCATCATCAAATGGCTCTAAAACAACAAAATGTGCCAGATATTTACCTCACTTAGCCCTTGAATTTCATGGTTCAGACTTGTTAAAATATAGGAGACCCCTGCCGTAGTTGTGCTGTTTGTCTTTTTACGTGAAATATTATGTTTTAGAGTTACAGTGTGAAAAGTTTAATTTGTTTCCATTTTATTTTTATATATTTGTAGGTCTCAGTTTAAATGGAAAAGAATGACACTAGGTGATTTCTAAGCTCTGTTGTGTCTAATGTTCTGGGAGTTTACTACAGTAGATGGATGTTCAGTGAGACAGTGTCATACAAGCTCTTTTGTAAAGAGTTTGGTTGTTTTTTTTTTCTATAAAACAGTCTCGTTCCATTACCCAGGCTGGGGTGCAGTGGCACAATCTCAGCTCACTGCAACCTCTGTCTCCCAGGTTCAAGCGATTCTCGTGCCTCAGCCTCCCAAGCAGCTGGGACTACAGCTACCACACCCGGCTAATTTTTGTATTTTTAGTAGATATAGCGTTTTCCCATGTTGGCCAGGCTGGTCTCAAACTCCTGGCCTCAAGTGTTCCACCCGCCTCAGCATCCCAAAGTGCTGGGATTACAAGCATGAGCCACCGTCCCGGTCAGAAGGTATTTTTTAATCCCCCAAATAATGACAAATTAAGAGTATTAAGTCACATTCAAGAGAGCCCCAAAGTCGCATGACCTGTATTAATTCAGCTATGGTCTCTCAGGGTGTTGGTAATTCACCGTATTTTTGTTTAGCTTAATACTCAGCATTCCTGGTGTCTCTCTTGATCCTGAATTTGGAGGAGGCTTCACATAATGCACAGACTGATAAAAATTTGCGTAAGTCCCGCAACACAAGAACAGCCTTCACTACACCTCACATTTACTCCACAAGAACTAGAATTAAGCCACAGGGAGACAATGAGGTGCACCACAGACCCAGATTCATGTGGCCTCCAAACAGGAGTCCATGCAAGGCAACAGTGGGAAGCAGGCTCCAGAGTAGAGGCAGTTCTCCTACCTGGCTCCAGGGTCTCATAAACTGTGGGTGAGGAGGGAAGGGACAGGGATGCATCCTTAGAGTGGAATGTGAATTCTCTCTTTCTTCTAATCTTCATTGAATACATTAACGTCCAGCCTACTGCTGAGTCAATAAGCACATCCTGCCCAGATGCACTTGCCTGTGAGCCGTTCTTCACAGGATTAGCCCCCATGCCCGGAGCTGATACCCTGGGCCAGACTTCTCCCTCAGAAATGACAATTTTATCCTCGGTGGAGGCCCATCTCCACCAAGCGTGTGGGGAGTGGAGTCGTTTGCCAGAGACTGCTGGCAATTTCACCTCTCCCCGTGGGCACAGACCCTCTTCCGCCCTTCCGTCCTTGCTGCCATTTGCACAAGCTCGCTTTGAAGCCACATAACCAAGCTCAGCTGGGAAGACCTGATCAGGATCCGCTTCCAGGTTGTGCTCCTCTAAAAACCATATGTAAAAGAAGCAAGGGATTAGACACTTTTAGAGCAGAAGGGACGTTGGGAGACCTAACCCAAGTCCTTCATTAGTTAGAAGCGGAAATTGAGACTAAGAGAGGTGAAGTTAGGGCTAACCTACAATGTCTCCTACCCACCAGTTCAACTTTCTTTCAACTTTGCCGTTTGGCTTGCTGTGGCATTATTTATTTATTTATTTATTTATTATTTGAGATGGAGTCTCACTCTGTCACCCAGGCTGGAGTGCAGTGGTGCAATCTTGGCTCACTGCAACCACCACCTCCTGGGTTCAAGCAATTCTTCTGCCTCAGCCTCCCAAGCAGCTGGGACTACAGGCGTGCGTCACCACGCCCAGCTAATTTTTGTATTTTTAATAGAGACGGGGTTTCACCATATTGGCCAGGCTGGTCTCGAATTTCTGACCTCGGGATCCACACTCCTTGGCCTCCCAAAGTGCTGGGATTACAGGCGTCAGCCACCATGCCCGGCCGGATTCATTTATTTTTTAATACATTAGTTTTATTTATTCCTCAGCACTTTGGGAGGCCAGCGAGGCAGATCGCTTGAGCTCAGGAGTTTGAGACCAGCCTGGGCAACATAATGAGACCCCTCACCTCTACGATTAGCCGCGTGTGGTGCGCGTGCCTGTAGTCCCAGCTACCCAGGAGGCTAAGGTTGCAGCTGAGATCTGCCACTGCACTCATCTTGGCTCACTGCAACCTCCACCTACCAGGTTCAAGCGATTCTCCTGCCTCAGCCTCCTGAGCAGCTGGGTTAACAGGCCCCGTGCCACCACGCCCTGCAAAATTTTTTGTATTTTTAGTAGAGACGGGATTTCACCATGTTGGCCAGGCTGGATGTATTCGATTTTTAAAATCCGAACTGTGTGCAGGAGAGTATGAAAGGAATACACAAGCCTTCACTGTTCATTTAACCTGCTAATTCATCTGTGAAAATGATGACCTTAGAGTGCCATAATTAGAGAACATTGGAAACAAACCGACTTCCTCTAACAGTTTTCCAGAATGGCCGCTTGATGGCACTGTGACTTGTGGGCAGAGCCCACTACCTCTTCACAATGCCTGTCACACTGGCGAATTCAGGGAAGTCCTC